TTTTGACATCGGAACCTGCAAATCAAATAAAATCAATAGAGAAAGCCCGAGATCCTTTGCAGGTTCATACAATATCCTCCCACCAGAGAGGTTTTTCCATGGGAGATTCTCCCGGTTCTCTCCACAGGCCTTAACTCGCTGTATTTGCGAGGGCAGCAATGTAATCCATAGATTGCGACTGGGACGTCCGTTTCACCATTGTTGCTGTGAACTAACTCGCCTCGCCACATTGGTGCTACATTGGCGAATTCATTCACAGCATCTCGACCAAAAGCTCGAAATCGTAAAAATGAGGCGCTTTCCAGTGCTGAGTGCTGTCGATATCTGTTGAAGCTGGCAACACCAAACCCTTTTTGGATTTGCGTTTATCATTTTGATTGCCAAATTGTGACATGCCATTGCCAAACTTTGATATTGTATGCGGACATTTATTGTAGTATCAATGAGCATTTTCTACCAGCTCAGGCAAAACTCCCACTTTGTGAGCGGAAACGTACACTCCCGTCAAAAAGTTATCATGGGAACACACACACACACATTCAATATCATTACACAGTTCAGTGAATATCACAGAATTTTGCTGAGACCAGCACATGACATGAGAAATCATCAGCATGAGAAATGGGCAGACATCATCTCAAAAAGCTCATCATTCACAACTTATCTATACTTATCTCGTATCACTTTTCGATATATACTCAATGTATAGTTTTCCTAAAAATTTAAAATGGGACTCCCAAATCATCCCTTAAATCATCCAGTTTAAATCAGGATCCATGAAACCATCATAAACCATCCAACTCTTGGGGATCCATGCCGGAGCGAGGCGCTCTTCGATGCTCTCCAGCAGGTCTTTGTGAAAACCTTCGCGGCTTGGCATGGAAAAACATCCAGGGATTCGGTGCTGTTTCAAACAGTGGTGACTGCCACCCCAGAAGATCTTGCATGGTCTTACCATGTAAAACTAGCCCACAGATGTAGAGAAAACATGAGAGAAAAAAAGGGGGGTTGGAACATTGAAAGCCTACCAGTTATTTGGTGTTTTTAGCCGCCTATTTTCAAAGAAAACCATTTCACAAGAGGCCCAATCCTGGTATAGGTACTCCAGCATGATCCAGCATGAGACATGTTTTACTGTAAGTTATTATCATCCCAGGTTTATACGAACTGGTATCCTTGCACCTTACCTTACACCTCACACTTTTTGATGTTGCATATTAAGCAAGCATTGACAAGCATTGCAATGAAGCGGAAGTGAAAGGTTGGGTGCAACAGCTGTGCAACTTGAATTTCCAGTCCTACATATTTCAAGTCTCATCAATCAACACATGCAACGGTTTTGCGTTTTTACACAAGCTATATACTATTCCCCCAACATCCCCCAACCAACATAGACCCTGCGACATGGGGTCGGAGGACCATCCTTCTCTAAACATTGTTCATCCTCTGGTTCCATAACCAAATTGAGATGGTATATCCCATTAAATGGGTTTGTCTGAAAATAGTGTACCCCTACACCCAATGGTTAATGATCATTATCCCTATTAAATGGCTATAATTGGGAATATACCCTATTTTCAGACAAACCCAAATCACCGATTGTCTCCCATCAAATCACCCTTTTCTATAGCCAGTAGGGTTCATCCCTGCGCTTCAATGCGCTTCAGGTTCTCTTGTGGGCACCTCTGAGAGCCTCAGCATCTAAAATTACCAAAAAAGGCAGAATTTTTGTATATGTTTGTTGGTGTTAGTATGATCATGATATATCATGATATATCATGATGTTTTTAAGTGCCACAAAACATCAAAACACATCAATCATCATGACACATCATGAAGAATTGGGAGATATTGGGACTTCAACCAGCCAAAAAGAGATGAATCGGTTGAATGGAAAACTTGCAGGGTTTACCCAATTGGATTTCCATGAATGTTACCTTAAACCAATGTATTGAAAGAAAAGGCAAGGGGATTGGCTCGCCAATCCCCATGGGCCAATATGAATCTGTGAATGGGGGGATGGAGATACGTACATGTAAGTACCTATTAAGATAAAGGTGTTTTTAATGGGAACAACTTACCATATTAGATTCAAAACCGATTAATTAAATTCCTTTTAAACCTAATTGTAATGTTGCCAAAACTTGGATTCCGAAGGCTCTCCTAATCGAAGGAAGTTTAGAAGTCAAACTTCCGACAATATGGACAGATGAAAAGCAGAGGTGGAGCAGAAGAATAGAGAAGAGAAGAGAAGAGAAGAAGAGAGAAGATCAGAGAAGAGAAAAAGTCAGAAGAAAGAAGATGCAGGTGCGCAAAAAGGTAGGAAAGTCGCGAAACACTGTGTTTTTCCAATGATTTGTGGCTCCGGAGGGTCGAAAAGTAGGCTCGCTAAAGCCGCGGGTGCGGAGCCAGCTGGCCAGATGAGAGATGAAAAGTTGCACACCGTTGTGGCGCGAAGCACATTTCGAAGTCAAAATGTACAAAACACACCATGCTCGGACCACCTTTGGAAGTTGCGATGTCGAAAAAGTGTATGCCGTTGTGGCGCGAAGCACATTTCGAAGTCAACATATTAAAAATACCAGGGGTTCGGACCACTTTTGGAAGTTGAGATGTCGAAAAAGTGCATGCCGTTGCGGCGCGAAGCACATTTCGAAGTTAAAATGTGAAAGCACCAGGGGTTCGGACCACTTTTGGACGTTCAGATGTCGTTTCGCGTGGCAGGTACAAGGGATTGTGGACCTTGTCAAAAGTGAGCAAAACGTCAGGGTTTTGTAGCATTTCCAAAAACAATGGCAGGCGTGGGACATTTGAAGAGGATCTGCAAAGATGCATTTCCGTGGCAGGCGCAGTACAAGAGACATGTTCATCAGAGCTGTTAGGAGGTCCGGGCGCTGATTTCCTGACAGGGGTTGCATTTTGGAGCATTAGATCTTCAGTTTTGGGAACATGATTTTGCGTGACAGGTGCAGCACTTCGTATGACCTGGCATCACTTTTTGGTGGCAGGTGCAGTAGTTTAGACAGATGGACTGAAAAAATCGCAAAACGCATTGGTACGAGGCCGTCAGCTCTGCACTCAACTTTCCATGTTTGAAGGAAGTCTCGCAGAATTGTTTCATTTTTGATGTTGTCAGCTTCGAAAATTGAAGAAGTCTCGCAGGATTGTTTCGTTTTTGATGTTGTCAAGTTCAAAAATTGAGGAAGTCTCGCAGACTTGTCTCGTTTTTGATGTTGTCAAGTTTTAAAAATTGAGGAAGTCTCGCAGAATTGCTGCGTTTTCAAGCTTGCAGGTAGACAGACAGGCAGACAAACAGACAGACAGACAGACAGATAGATAATTACAACAACAACTACTACTACTACTGCTACTACTACCACTACCACAACTACAACTACCACTACACTACACTACTGCTACAAATACAAATATACTACGCTACATTACACTACATTACACTACACTACACTAATTACATCTAATTACACTACACCAAACCAATTACACTAACAACAGCAACAACAACAACAACTACAACTACAACTACAACTACAACAACAACAACTACTACTACTACCACCACAACTACAACTACAACTACAATTACAACTACACTACACTACACTAATTACACTGCAGCACACACTACAACTACAAACACAACTACAACTACAACCACACTACATTACACAACGCTACACTGCACTGATTGCATTGCATTACCAGTGCATTACACTACAACTACAACTACAGCTGCAGCTGCAACTACAACTACCACTACATTACATTACATTACACTACGCTACATTACACTACACTACACTACACTAATTATGCTGCAACTACAACTACAACTACACTACACTACATTATTTACACTGCACTGCACTACAACTACAACTACACTACCTTACACCTATACCACACTACACTACACAACACTACATGACATTACGCTGCATTACACTACACTAATTACGCCGCACCACGACTACAACTGCAACTGCACCTGCAAATACACTAATTACACTACATTACAGCTACAGCTCCACTACGCTACAGCTACAACTGCAACTGCAACTACAACTGCACTACACCACACTACATCCAGCAGTTGTGGTAAGGTGACCACTGCAACCATAGCAACCATTCCAAAAAACACAACTCCGACTCCAACCACCTGTCGGTCCATCAGTGGATTCGCTCTGCCATCCGTGATTCACAACAACCAACCTCTCCTATAGGCTTCCTATTTTTGAAACTTCCGCCGCCGCCTTGTGCGGCACTACTTGTATTACTTAAAAAGCACTAATAAAGTTTTTTATAGTTTTTTAATTTCAAAATCGATTGAATTCGTTTTTAAAATCGAAGTGAAATATTGCCAAAAATTGGATTTCGAAGAGAGGGTAAGAAAGGGGACCCTAATAATAAATAATTAAAGGCCTTAGAAGAGAGGGACGGGATAGGGAGCCAGGAGATGCGACCCTAATAATAAAACACCCTGTGTGATTCTATGTTTATTAATAGGAGGTAAAAACAACTATTTCAGCATCCTGTTCTCCTATTGATTCTCAGTTACCACAATTAAGAACGCAATCGTAAGCAACCAAGAAAGAACGAAAGTGCTAATCCACTTCTATCTTTATTAGGGGAATTTTAGAAATAGGGAGAAGACCGTATTTATGTTTATGTACTGCCTATAGCGATTCCATGTTTCTGATCAACTTGTTTCGGCTTTTCGTTTTGGATTCCCAGGTGTTTTCTTCGGGCGCCCACCGCTGGTGACGCTTCCACCCAACCTGGTGAAGCTGCTCTTCTGGATGGATCGGCCTGCAGAGTCTGTGCTTGAGGCCCTACCATTGGTGGGGT